CCCCCGCCTCCCCGCCCCGCTCCCCGCACGCCCGCTCCGCTCCCGTCCCGTCCCGCTCCCCCGGGGGCCGCCACCTCCTCCCCGCCGCTCCCCCCCCATCCCCGGGGGCTGCGGGGCGGAGAAGGGGAGCACCCGCTGCCGGGAAGTTGGGGGGCTCCCCGCCATGGGATGCCCGTGACCCCCCCTTTACGCCCTCCCCGGTAAAGGTGCGGGGTCTGCGCGCACCGAGCGCGGCCTTACCCCGGGCTGGGAGAGAGGCATAACGCGGGGCTGGGAAATCAGACCAAAACCGGCTGCAGGAGGGTGACAGCGGCGCTGGGAGTGACAGCGACAATGGATGCGGCGGGAGGGACCGCAAGGAGAGCCCAGGTTTAGGAAAAAACTCTGCCCCCCCCTTCCCGTCTCCCTCCTACAGGTCGCTTCCCATCTCTGCTAAAACGAGGAATTATCTGCAAAAGAGCCCAGCGCCCTTCTCCGTTCAACTAAAGCTTTATCATTTTTTTTTTATTCATTTATTTTTAGCATTTAAAACCTTATTGTTTTCGGCTGAACGGCCCTGAATAAGACGCCGAGAATAGTTGCAGGGAGTGAGAAGTCATTTGTAGGTCAGGACAGCGACTCCAAGCAGATTTCAGCAATCTTTTGAAATATTGATCACCTGGGAGTGATCGTTACCCGCAGGTTCGCCCCCTCCCCTTGTGTCCCCCGTCCCCCCCAAGACCCCGAGAGAGGGACTGTGGGTCTCTGGGCGAGCTGGGCGACCGGCCACCCCTTCTTTGGAGCGGGGCAACCTCCAGCCGTCACGGGGGAAGGAATGAAATCATTTTCTGAGCTGTGAGGATACGATTTGTTTTCTGGAGAGAAGGAGAAGGATGGGGGGGGCTGGGGGGGGGGCTGGGGAAGGGAGGAGAGGGAAGGAAATCAAGAAGCCACTCTTTATTCTACACATAGCTGCTCAGTGGCAATTTCTTTCCGGGGACATTAGGGACCATGCTCGGAAAGGCAGCATATATTTTGAATTGAGCTCAATATGTTCCCCCCTCCGCTCTTTGCAATGTATTATTATTATTTCTCGTGTTCTAGAACGCTTGTCAAAGAAATGCCGCCTTAATTTGATATCTTGTTGTTGTCTCTTTCCTTTTTCTCTTTTCTTTGTATTTTTTTTCCTTTTCTTTTTTTTTTTTTTTCCCCTTTATTTCCTCCTTTAAGAAAGCTCCTTTGCTAGTTGCCCGACCGAAATTAAACAGATTTACATTTTCTCCAATCATTTCTCCGTAGAAATGGAGCTGGATTGGGGCTCGCCGTCTTTTCTTTAGTATCAAGTACAATTTGTCTTTTGCTTGTGAAGATTTGGTAAATCAGAAGGCAGATAGATAGCGCAGATGGTCGGAGGTGTCGGGTCAGATTATGGTACGCCTCAGTACAGTGCTAAGCTCATTCTGACGGAAAACCCTGATATTATTTTCACAGATCTACACAGTTCACTTGAAAAAAACCCTTCGAGCCATTTACATCATTTATGTGAGGCTCACAGCTAGCGGGATGGAAAAGCTTTCAATACTGCTCATTTTCATAAAACCCGACAGAGCTGGGGAGACATAAAAGCACACGCAAAACTCACGAGTTCAGAGACACTCCGCAGAAACTTAAAAAATAAATGGGGAGGCTCTTCGGCTTCACTTTACAGACCCAGGTTTGATTTCCCCATCCGATTAGGAAAAAAAAAAAAGGGGGGGGGGGAATAAAAAATCAGAGAAGAGGAAAATATCATCTATAAATACTGCTGAGGGAGAGTCCCCTTCCACCCCATCCCTGTCCTCTCCACCAGGGAAAAAGTGTCCTTCGAACAGCTGAATGAAAGATCCCAAATAACCTTTTCGGACAGGGTTAAAAAAAAAAACAAAAACACCAAAAAAAACCAAACCCAAACCTCCTCGGTGTGAGCATCGGGATACCCCAGAGAGGGGGTGAGAAGGCGGCGACCCCCGCGGTGCCGGGCAACCCGGAGGGGCGGCCAGTAGCCACCGAAAGCATCCCGGGACCGGGGCTGGTGGAGGAAAAACCTCTGCTTGGAGAGAGGTGGAAGGATGGAAAGCCTGTGTGAATGGCTAGCTAATTTAGAAGGACCAGGCGATGATGATGATTATTACTAATATTACTGTAGCTCTTTCGGGCTTTCTTTCTCCCCCCCCTTTTATTTTTTTCTTTTTCTTTTTTCTTTTTTTTTTTTTTAATGGTGTTACAGCTACAGTCTACAGCTGTACAATATCAAACATATCTACAGCTCTTTCAGCCATGTCAATCTTTCAATGTCAAGAGCCATGATTTATCAAAGGACAAAGCCATACAAGCCAGAGTCGAGTAATCATTTGTTCCTTTACTTGGACCTTCCATCAGATCCTTGTCCACCCTCTTTCAGTAATATCTTAAAACAGCCCCATGAAATGAGCAATAGCTTTTCGGGCTTTTTTTCCCCCCCCCCTTTTTTTTTTTTTTTTTTTTTTTTTTTTTTTTTTTTTTTTTTTTCCTCCTTTAAAGCATGCACATGATCTGGCGAGGGAGTTACTGGGCTGCAGCCTAATGACCATGAACAGAGCGAGACAGGCTCCATAATGAACGCCAGGACTGTAGGGTAAAGAAATGTATCCTCATGGGGGGGGGGGGGGGGGGGGGTCCCCCAGGTCTCCGGCCTTTGTTCCCCCGAAACCGTCCCGGATGGGGAGATGCTGGCGGTCCTGCTGGGAGGGGAGAGGGAGTCAAAGAAAAGCCAACACCGAAACGGACCCAGGAACCCTCTGTTAACCATTCAAAGGGTGACCCGAGGGGGAAAATCAGCCCAGCCCCAGCAGCTCTGCGCCCTCTCCAGCTGTGAACCCTGGGGTCTGTATTTGGGAAGTGGGCACAGTCCGTGGGGAACCGGCTTCTGCCCGGCTGGGGGTGGACCTGGGGGCTCCCTGCTCTGTGCTACCAGCGCCGAGAGAGAAATCACCTCCAAGGGGGCCCCACCGTCCCTCTCCCACCCCTCCACCCCCCGACCCAAGCGTTTTATCCGTGGCCGGGACCCCGGCAGGTTTCCCCCCGCCCCGTCGCTCCGGAGAAGGGGCTCGGGCCGGGCTTTGCCTCCGCAGCGCGACCGGTGACCCCATGGGGACCCCCACCCCTGGTGGGACTCGATGCCGCGTCCAGGAGAGGCTCCCAAAAAAAGCAGAGGGTCCTGGCTGAGCCCCCCTGTCTCAGCCGAGCCGCCTGCCAGCCTGGCTGCACACTCCGACCTGTCCGCTTCGTTTCTCTTCTTTTTTCCTCCTTTTTCTTCTCTTCCCCACCCTAAATAGAGACAATACTAATGACATTAATAGCCGGTAATGATAACTACCTTAATTTAGTCACGGCTCTGACCCTTGCTACAGGTAGCGCTATCCCTGCAGAGATGGATCCTCAGGAGGTCAAGGAATAAAAAAAAAAAAAAAATCTTTATCAAAGATGCTGCCAGTGATCCAGGTCACCCCGACGGTGCGCTCTCTGGCCCCCACCTCCAGGGCCCCGCAGCAAAACCACGCGTGTCAGTACATCCCTGCGGTCATCACCCACCCCGCAGTCCCTGGGGATTATTTATCCAGATGGACTTTCCTAATGCAGCAAAGGTGCGAATGAATTTTTATTTTTATTTTTTTTTTTTAAAAAAACCTCTGATTTGCGTTAAGGATATTGCATTAAAAAAATAAAAATAAAAATGAAAAAATCCCCCCGGGAAGGAGAAGCCCTACTTTCCGGGTCTCGGTGGGACTGGGGGGGATGCGGGGGTTCACGAGGTGATGCTGAGTGGGTCTGCGGCGCCGGCTGAGAGAACCGGCGTCCCCCGGGAGGGTCCCCGGGAAACCAGTCGGGATTTTTTTTTGGCCTCGGGTCGGTACCGGCACGACCCGCTCCGGTGGCGGGGAGCGGTGCGGGTCAGGCAGGGCTGGAGCGGGGAGCGGGGCGGGTTCTCGCCCTCATCCCACGCCGCCGGAGGAGGAGGAGGAGGAGGAGGGATGCTCGGGCGGAGAAGGGTGCCCGCTGTCGCTGATAGAAAAGAGGTGACTTGAAAATGTCAGCCCCCTCCGTGGACCCGGTCTGGGGCTTTCGGGAGCGCTTCCCACCGAGGCACCCCGGAGATTTGCCGGAGGGAGGTCCCCAAGCTCAGGACGGTGTGTTGGGGGTGCTCGGCAGGAAAACGATCCGTGTTTCATGTGTTTCATGCCTTTTTACTTTGTAATTGTTGAAATAGCAGCTACCAATCCCTCCATCTCTTCCTAAGAAAAAGTTACGTTTAAAACTTAATATTAATCCCTTAATATTAGGGAAAGTATGCAGGTTGGATCCTCATTTAAATAGCTGCTAACCCATTAAAACACCCCAGAGTCCTGAAAACGATGTCGGACAGGCAGAGATGTTCACCCACTTTCCACTCTCAGACCATGTATTCATTAAATCTTTGTCCTTCGGCGTATTAGTAAAGTTACCTATAATACGAAGTGTCAGACCATGGCTAGTATATATTTGGTGTTACAATAAAGTAGCACTGAAAACTCAAAAAATTGAGTTATTTTGAGACTGATAAGAAAAGACCTTCCTTGTACAGGGCCCTGGTCAAGGCCAGGGTTGCAGGCAGGAAAGATCTACCACGCAAAATTTTTTTCTATCATTTTCTTTAGGGTTTAACCATGGGCCTGTTTTTAAAGCCCGCAGTCCATCGAGGTTTGTTTAGCTGCTGCCTTTACCGACAGTAAATACACACACCGCCAAATCTCCTATTAAACTGAAGTGTGTTCACATAAAATCTTCATTCTGCTT